TTACTCGACAACATTTTTTGCCATCTATATTGCAACTTAATGTCAGCATAGTGAACCCTTGCGCGAGCGGGATCAGCACATGCTCACTCGGTGCACCGTCGCGATAAAGCGAAAAGACCTCGAGCAGAAGAGGGTATAACTTAAAGCGTCCATCCATCTGCTTGTATACACATACTATTGCTTCTAAAAACATATATCCATACTAGTTTTCTAACTTGCCACCTGTGTCGTCATAACACACCTTCAAGATGGTGGACACATGCACCAGCAGCAGAAGCACGTGCTCATCTAGGGCACCGTCGCAATACAACGGCACCACTGTCTGAAGCAGAGGGGTAATGGTATGGTCTCTCATGGGTGTGTAGTCGTCTCGGCGTACTGCTGCCATGTATGTCCTGGCCAGAAGGAGTATGGCGCGTTGCACAGCCACTATATAAACTGAGGGCTCGGCGAGACCGGAACCTGTAGTACCGGAGATTGTGTTTCGAAGGACCAATGAATGTCTTAGCGTACAGTTCGGTATAACGGGTACTATGTATACTGCCAGGCTATATATAGACATTCGGTTATCTATACTGTTAGGCTATATATAGACAATCGGTTATCTATACTGTCAGGCTATATATAGACATTCGGTCATCTATACTGCCAGGCTATATATAGACATTCGGTTATCTATACTGTCAGGCTATATATAGACATATCTATACTGTCAAGCTATATATAAACTTGCGGAAATATGGGACTAACAAGTCCTTTCGCCTGAAATATCGGGTAGATAAGGAGCGCGTTTCTGGTTACCCGCGGAAGCCATAAGTGTACTACCTACCCCATTGGAAGATAGCGGACTTTATTGTCAATTGGCATTGAGCTAAAGCTGGTAAATTTTGGCTAATTTTGGCTAAGCCGTTGTAAGCGCCTATAAATATTCGCTGGAGTATCCCTAACAATGCTGTAGTGAATGGATTTACACTCTCTGGCCGATATAACAAAAACCGCTCAGGAGCGTTCTCCGGGACCGCCTCTGTTTCTCAATGATGTGTGTACCTGTAACAAGCCAACTACAATGATAGAGAATCCCGGTATTCCATTCACCATAGTTCAATTCGTTGATCTGTTTTAAACGCATTAACAGTCCACGGCATGGCATCGAAAAAGCTGCAGCGCTCTTCAATACTCGTCACGAAAATCGAACTAACGGGTCTGACAGTACCTAACTAGGTAGGTCGTACTTCCTTATTGTTCAAGACAGCCATCAACACAACATACAAACACCTCCTTAAAATGGAGTTGATACACACACATACATACACACACACACACACACACACACACACACACACACACACATACAGAGAGAGAGAGAGACACACACACAGACACAGATATATATACATTTACATACATACATATATATATATATATATATATATATATATATATATATATGTGTGTGTGTGTGTGTGTGTGT